TTCTCATTTCCATCATTCTGCTCCTCCTCAGATTGTTTGGAGACAACAAGAGTAAGCTGTTCACCAATAATGGAATAGCCACTAGAAATACACTGAATATACTAACTAAGAGCTGAGCAGTTCCTGGAGATGCTGGACACAGAGATGTCCCTTAAGGCCACCTCCAGCAGCAGGTATCCACTTTTGTGAAGAAATACTTATAAACCTACACATTTCTATTTTATCAAAATTGCAGCAATTACAAGTGTTACAGTATTTGAGAACAGTGAAATCATTTCACTGAGAGTTAAGAAAATAAACCCCAGGCCTAGTATTCCAATAAATAGCTTGTGAAAGGTGAGACTAAGGGTGGAATTATATTACTCTTTGTACACCCAAATGACAGTTTGCAGCCATACAAGTAGTGTTTTTGGCACTTAAGTACAGTTTTTCATTCTATTACTCCTGCAGTGTGGATGCTCAGTTGGTTATGCATTGGCTGGGCAGGTATGCATCTACATATGTGCATTCATTGGTATAAGTCCCAGAAAAGACAAGAAGGAGGGCCCTCCCATTTTCCTGAAGGGAGAAAGGCACAGAACTTCTAGGACCTGTGTGCCTAGTAGGGGTGTGAACCTACAGATCTCTGATGTCTTAGCATGTTCAAACAACCCCACTACAGATTAAGCATTTCTCTTACTTTTCTCCAATGCTTCTTTTGAAATTGAGCCACTGCCCCTCACATTTACCAGTCATTGGATAAAATGGATAGAGAGCAGTGTAGCAGCAGAGAGGTTTCTGCCATATTAGGGGTAAGGGCTCAGACTAGACCATTTCAAAGCAGGTTCCACCTCACCTCTGCTTATTATCTTCTTCCTGACCTCACATAGCTCCCTCTTTGGACTACCCGGATGCCATCTTCAAAAGCAACACTGGAAATGAATTTGGATAATGTCTGCCTTTGGCCTCATGGATCATTAGAAGTTGGGGAAATGGAGATTCAAACCTGAGTGAGGGTTTGAACAGGGTTTCCCTGTAACTTTTGTCTCCCACTTCATAAGTAAGTGCCCTAACCACCCAGCTTTAGAGGCTAAAGCAGGAGAGCCCCCTCCTCCATGTAACACCTGTTTCTCATGGTTTTTGTTCAGTTACATTTTTGTGGCTGCTGCATACATGATGGGGTCAGGAATGGACACGGCCAGTATGTTGCCTACTGCACTCTCTCAGTCTGTGTGCACATGCTTATGTGCTCACACTGCAAGAGTAACAGAATCACAAACTGTGGATAAGTGCCAAAAATGTCAGTTAGGTGGCTGGAAAGTGTCCATGTATTCATGTGAAGGGAAACAGAATTCTACTCCAGTGTCCCGTCTTTATCACCCCACATGAAATATTGAGACTTAAGGGCCAAATTATGAAGCTAGTAAGAGTACTTGTGCAAACATCAGACTGTTAATGGGAGTAAGCTTTTCCTGTTCACGCAAGCAAAGATTCTATTAATTCTGTTTTGACTGAGGGATAAATTCTAAATGTCTCTATCCAATCATATGCAGCTATTTCTGTATCTTCTATAAAAGCAGATAGGGCTAGATTTTGTCATAAAGCATGGAACCTGGTGAAAAGTGAAAAGATGACAACGTTTTGGGTAAAGGACTCCTGAGCAGGAAATTATTTCTATAGAAACACAGAAAAAATCTATACAATCCCTAATGTGCATATCAGGGAGACATAACCTTGGTTTTTACAATCTTTGATTTAGATACTGAGGTCAAGTGAACTTTCATTGCTGTTCTGTTATGTGGGCTGTCTTGGTAAGTTTTTACATGAAAGTAGAGTTAATCATTGTTATGCTTGTTAAGTAAATATTTCAATAGAACACAGGGTGTAATAAATACAGTTAATGGATTTGTGAAAGCAGAACTACACTTTATGATGCTTTGGACTTTGGAGCTTGACCGTCAGAGTTAATTTTCCCTGGTACCAAATAGCCAGGCTTAAATTCAGCTCTGTTTCCAAAATGCTGATATAGCCATTACAAAAATCCTTCTTCCAAATGCTTTTCTAAAAGCTGTCATCTTTGAAAGAAATTCTATATTTGTTCTTTATTGTAGAAACTCAGCAGCCATGATGACTGGGGCATTTTAATGAAAAGGGTCAAAATGCAACCTTATGTGAAAGGATGCTATTGTATTGAACCCAAAGGTATGGTCCCTGTTTACACCAGTGGTGCCCAACCTTTTCAGCCTGCAACCTGGATGAAAGGTACCAGGTTGGTCCGTGGGCCATATCTGGTCCATGGTGTGCCAATCTAGGCTTGAGCAGCTGCTCCTGAGCAGCTCAGGGCCTGGTGTTCTTTGTTTGGGCTTTAGCTTTCTCTGGCACTATCATCCGCCAGGCACTGTGTCCGAAGGGAAGCAAGCCCTTGTTGCTTGCCCGCCATGTCTTGTTCTTATGGGTAGATGTGAGAGGCTCCTGTTTGACCTGGACTCACTCAGAGGCACTCCATATGGATATCACTTGGGGCTCTGCCTCCCCTACACACCTTCCATGCACCAGCCTGATAATCTCTACATAGTCAATGATCTGGGCTCTTCCGTGTTCTGGCATGACACATCATCCCAAATTGGGCTATTTGTGAGTTCCAGCTGGGTTGGTTTGCTTGTACAGTGGCCTTGGGTTCGCTGGTGAATGGCCAGTTACTCTCCATCATGCTCAGCCTGCACAACTCAAAGACTGTTGGGAAATGGTCTTGCTCCCTGAGACAATTTCCATTGGTTGGACAGGCTTGCTGGCCCTGCTACAATACAGTCTTCTACCCCCAGGGACCCCAAGAGCTCCTGGCCTCTTGGCTGTGGCAAGGCATCAAAGGAATATGGCCTCTCCCAGGCCCCAGCAGTAATCAACAACAACAACAAAAAAAGCAAAAGCAGGAAGGCAGTGGTTTGCCTTGCACTCACACATCACTGATTTGTGCTGGGCCCTTGAATCCTCGGCCCCACTCTTTCCTTCAGCCTCTGGCCTTACTGAGCCTAATGTGGTGCCTCTGTAAAGGCCTGGCGGGGAGGGAGGAGGGCATTGCTTGGCACTGTATGGGGCCTGTGAGGCCTCCCTGCAGCCCCTCAGCTCCCAGGATCTTGCTGGGGCCAGGCTTGGCAGCAGCTCCTTTCCCCTCCTGATTCCTGCCAGCACCAGGCCCACCTCCCCATGCATTGACATGGGCAGCACTGCACTTCCCTGCATCTGCCTAGGGGCACCACCCCTTTATGGTCCAAGTCCGTATCTAGTTCCTTTCGGTTCACTCTACATCCAGGGCCCGTAAAGGATCTAAATCAGATTCAGCTCCTTTGGATTGTTCGCTGGGCCTCAGTGCACGACGAGGAGTGAATTTGAAGGATCTGAGTGCAAATGAACCAAATCCAATTTGGATCCTTCCTGGTACCTTGATGCAGGACAAGGACTGGATCCAAATCGAATTCAGTTCATTTGCATTCAGTTCATTCTAATTTGCATCAAAGTCCCAGGAAGGACCCAAATCAGATTCATCTCATTCAGATCCTTCCCAGGAACTCGATGCGTGACAAGGAGCAAATATGAAGCAGCTGAGTCTGAATGAACAGAGTCCGATTCCCATCCTTCACGGGACCTTGATGTGGGACGAGGAGTGGGTTCAGTTCATTCATATTCGTTCTGCCTCCCACATCAAAGCCCTGGTCTGGACAGCAATTCAAAGACAAGCTGCCAATCTTAATGGCGCTTCAGTCACCAGCACCTCCTCTTTCTTCTCTAGGCAGTTTAATCATCTCCTTTTTAGTTCAGGCATAGCTCCAAGATGATAAAACAGTAGGCTTTCTATTCAAACCTAGCCCTGGGGAAGATCCACAAGAAAGAGTTCATTCCCATAGTCCTGATCTGTGCACAGGATGGGAAAGGGAGCAAAAACAGCCTGATAAACAGCAGTAGTAAAGGCAGAGTCAGAAGTTTTGTCCACCCTGCCGTGACTTAAAGCACTCATTGTTGGATTCTCTGTCACACACACAATTTTAACCTTGCCCTTCTATGCATTACACTGCTCGTGTATACTGATATGTGGTTAATAAGCTACCAGGTTAATAAGCTAGTTAGCATGAGTATGGTTGGAATATATCTGTACACTTACACAGGTTTTATTTCAGTGTACAACAAATTACATTTGCAGAATTTTGTTACAGTAGATTATTATTTTCCACTTTTGACAAAATGGTTTTTGTGGAGCTGATCATAATCCTTGTATATAAGCGTTCAAATGTGGATGCTGGCACAGGTTTGTATCAGGAAATTAATGCACATTTTTACACTCATGGAGTCTAGACAGAGGTTCAGCTGAAAATGTGAATGCTTTTTCTACTGATTTTTTGGAGCAGAGGGAGAATATCTAAGGATGTTAACATTTGAAAAAAATTACAGTAGATGTTTTCATATCTATACATTCAGAATATATGGTCTTATTTACCCAGCATATATAAAGGCCAATCTTAAGATGTGGCCAAAGCAAAGAGTTCACTGAAGTAAGAACAGCAAAAGATAAAAATCACGAGGATTAATTAATTACATCAGGCAGATCTCCATATCACGTAAGGAGGGGACCACAAGCAATTAGGTGCTGTGAGAAATTAAGTGAGGAGGAAAAAGTTTCTGTAAGCTCTACCTGGTATGTCAGAAAGAGATTGGAGAGCCAAACAACAGATGCTCTAGATGAAAACATGGAGACAAGGCCAGCAATCTCTTATCAGAGCTTTGTTGTTCTTGCATTTTAGAGATGAAAATACCATGAAGTGGGCAAAAAAGGGCCATATTTACATCCTATGGATGTCAACCACTTTAAAAGAGAGAATCTTATATGTAAAACTTGCAGAAAAAACATGCTAGTCCTATGCATCAAGGAAACATGGTTATCACATCCTGAAGTTATGCAGCCTTCTAATTATGGAGGCAAATGCTGTCTCTATCCCAGTAATCACATTTTTACCTTTCACTGCCTATAGGATGACAAATGGAAAACTCCACTATAATTTCACCAACCTGGATAATTTTATGGATCTTCTGCGGACAAACAAACTTGTTCCTGGTAAGATGCTTTTATCCATCAACTATTAATGTTGGACCAAATCAGGCAGAACTGTAAGTGTTTCACCAAAAGTGATTTTGAAACAAAACATGTTTTACTGATATTTAACTCCTATTAGCTTAAATACAAAATCTGTGCAGCAAATGCTGAGAAAGTAGCAAATAAAAACCCATCTATTTTACTTAAGAAGTGCTTTGGTATTAAACTGAGATTTATGAACTTGAAGATGAAATCAACCAACGTTTACCAAGAAACACCCAAGAAGGGGCCAGGGAGGACAAACTCCCAGATGGATTTTGTTGGCACTTCCCTGAACACAGTAGCACTTGCATCCAATGCCTCTCCAGCTCATGAACCAGGGGTGGGCAAAATGTGGCCCAGTGGCCAGATGCAGCCCACCAGGTCCTTTTATCCAGCCCGTGGGGTCCCTAAAAAATTTAGAAAATTAATATTAATCTGCCCTGGGCTGCCCGTCATGCGGCCCTTGATGGCTTGCTGAAACTCAGTAAGCAGCCCTCTGCCCAAAATAATTGCCCGCCCCCGGTCATAAACTGAATTGGTTACTGCTAATATTGTGAATTTTATTGACAAGTAATAACTTTGAGTAATCTCAAATTGGCATCAGGAATGTAAGCTTAATTTACATAACTCAGTCTATGCATCTCATGGAGGTCACTATCAGATGAATGTTGGAAAATAAATTCAGTTAATAAAAAGTGGAAAATAAGACCTTTTTTTACTTGTTTAAGGATTTGAACTTATGGGAAGCCCTTCAGGATACTTCACAGATTTTGAAGATAAAAAACAGGTGGTAAGATGGAAGAACCTAGTTGCACTTCTGGCTAAGAGATATATAGGTAAGTTACTTTTAAAAAATCCTATTTTTCTTGCTATAATGAGTCCTGTCTTCCTACTTCCAGAGTTCTGTGATGTGTGCTCGATTGGAGAAATGGAAGGGGTTTGAGCAACATTGGTTCATAGACTTTGTCCTGGAGGAAGATTCACAGAAGGATGGACAATTTATACAGCTTAAAGTGGCTCATGGAACATTGTAGCACGGAACAGTTTTTGTAGGAAAATACAATTAAAAAAGAAAAGGAGCAGTACTGGTTGACAGAAGAAGACTAACAAAATACTCAAAGAATGAGACACAGATAAGCTATGTACCAAACAGAGACTCATATTCATCCCTTCGAGTCAGGCATCATTCTATCCCTGAAATCATTGGGAACTCCAAGGGGTAGATCCATTACATTTGGAAGATGACAGGCTGGTTGAGCGAAGGGCTGTGCAGATCTTTCTTTTCCTGGTTTGGCAGTCAAACGAAAAAAAATGTTTCTGATTGAAATAAAGCAAACTAAAGGGAACATGGAGAAGGGATCTTAGTGAAATATGCAATACCCAAATTCTGTTTGTGTCAAATTAAACATCTCATTCAATCCAAATCAACTTTTTAATATATTTGAAAACAAGCAAAACAAATGAAGGAGTAGATTAATCTCATGGTCATGGCTGTAGTTTCAATTGCCAGGGATTTTCAGGGTGCGTTTACACGTGCACTTTAATGTGCAGTAGACTATTTTATTGCACATTAAAGAGTCACATAAAAAATGACATTATGCTAATGTTCAGTAAAGTAGTCCACTACACAAAGCTTCACTAAAAAAGTTACTGCACATTAGTGCAGCTTAATGAACATTAATTTAGTACCTCATATTTGTATGACCCAAACTATGCAAAAAGTTCAGCATAGCTTTTTAAGTAGATTTTCTATTGGCCAAAAACTGTACTCTGATTTAGTGGTCCCCAGTGCTCAGTATATATCCGAATGTATCATACCCATGGAACTTATCCTCAGATGAATCATATTATGCAGTAAGAAACTGCAGTACTTAAAGCTTGTTTTATTTCCAGCAAAATATGGTCTGGAACATGTTGCCAAATGGAATTTTGAAACTTGGAATGAGCCAGATCATCATGACTTTGATAATGTGTCAATGACTGTCAAAGGTAAGTTTGTTTTTGTTATTAACTCCTACTGTTTATTTTATTCATATTGATGATGTGCTGGGAAGAAGCAGAAAGAGGCAGGGTAGGATGACAAAAACTAGGAATACAATAAAAATGTATATATACTGTTTTATAAATGTTTGTCCCTGGCTGTGATCCACACACATGATCACTGGTCTGAATCTTGTAAATTTGCAGTCTGGATAGTAACCCGTGTGAAGAGGCAGATATAGCATGCAGAAAAAGGAAATAGAAATAAGAACAATACAAATTAGATCACACTGGTCATGTCTACATGTGCATTAAGGCATGTTTTCTAATGTGCATTAAATTTAGTACCTCCAATGTGAGGTACTAAATAAATGCACATTAGGCTGCCTTAATGCACAGTAACTGCTACAGTGTTCCCTCTAAGGAGTAGCAGTCTGTGACTGCACCGCTTCGGTCCGTGAGTGGGACACTTACCGAAGGGGGCTGGAAGCTGGGGTCAGGGACAAGAGGCTGGGGCCGGGGGCTGGAAGCTGGGGCCTGGGCTCTGCCGGTTCCGGGGAAACTGCTCTGTTCCCCCACTTCGCATCGGGGAGCGAGGAGTCACGTGGCATCAGGGCTGGGGAGTGGAGCACTTCCCCAAAGCCAGCAGAACCCGTGGCAGCCCCCAGCCCTAGCCTCCATCCCTGCCTTGCCTCACCTGGGGGAGGAGCTGCTGCCTGCCCCGAGTGAGGCTCTGCCGGCTCTGGGGAACTGCTTCATGGCTCCGGGAAACTGCTCCACTCCCCGGCCCGTGCCAGGCCCCTGCCCTCACCTCACCTTGGAGCTTACCTTAAGCTCCTCTCCTGGTGCATGGCCTTGCAAAGGCGGTGTGTGGCCAGACTTTTAGTTGTGCGCTGCCACGCACACGCACACCTTAGAGGGAACCTTGAACTGATGTGCATGGTTTTTAAGTGATGCTTAATGTGCAGTAACCTATTTTACTGTGCAGTAGGGTAATCACACATTTTTATGTGACACTAATGCACAGTAAAATAGGCTACTGTGCATTAAAGTGCACGTGTAGACATGCCTTCAGTTTGCTGTTTGGTTACAGACTAAAGTTATGCTATGTGGTTTTCTGCTTGATTTGTGTGTCCTGGGAGCCTTTTCAGGCAGATGCCCATTGACGAGTTTCTTTTTCTGAAGACTTCATAAATCTGAGGCTTTGGACCTATAGTTTCCTGTTGTGATCTTCGTGGAGGAAGAAGAGGGAGAGAGGCAGTTTCAAAAGCACCTTGTGCACTTACTTGAATACATTTGCTAATTATCAGCATAGTAACAAGAAGATTTACAGTATTCTCCACTAGTTTTAACCAAGCCACCATTGTAAGTTGTAGTCATCTACTGCATATGTATCCACTTTAATTCTAGGGTTTCTCAATTATTATGATGCTTCCTCAGAAGGGTTAAGAGAAGCTAGTTCTCTACTGAAATTTGGAGGGCCAGGAGACTCCTTTCACCCCTTCCCAATGTCACCAATGTGCTGGAGTCTTCTATATCACTGTTACAATGGAACCAACTTCTTCACAGGAGAGACTGGTGTGAGATTGGACTACATATCCCTCCACAAAAAGGTCAGCTCAGAAGAGTGTTTCTTGACAATTTAATCCTGAGGTTTCCTAGGCATTCTCCAGTACTGTGGTTTCTGAAGTTGGCTCTGCCTATACAGGGTAACATGGTCATTGTGATTTTAAGAGGGCCTTTTAAAGATATCCTACTGGAAAACCTTAGCCTAAAAAGTAAGTGTTTTTAAACCTGGTATCCACCTAATAATAACTTTGTCTCATTTTTTCACATATAGAGAGTGGGGCTAGGGGAAATACAGAATTTTGCCATTTGAAACAAAATGGCTCATTCAAACTTCATTTGTGCTTCAGGCGGAAGTATAGAAATATTAAATTTGCCAAAGACACAAGTACTTGGATGATCCAGGGACACGGTTAACAGTCCAAGAAAAAAATAATGATAATCTGCAAGCCTTTTACTAATAGCCATACTTTTTAACTGACACATGCTTTTACTTGTATGTTTTACATAGTGTAAGTGTACCTTTTCTGCTAGGCCCTGCTCTGCTGCCAGTTAAAAGGGCCAGGGTCAAATTTAGGGTTTTAATGTCAAATAGACTTAAAAAAACTAAAAAAAGTTTGCAGTAAAAAAAGTGTATTGGGTTGGCAAACCTGGTTGACAGTAACAATGGTTTTACACTGTGCTACACACCCCCAGGGTTCCTTGTCTCACCCCCACAACCTGATAATCCCCCCTGCACCCTGCTGCCCCCCTCACCAGCCTTACCCCTGCCACTTACCATGTCTTTCACTTGTCCTGGTACAGACCCCCAAAGAAGCCTAGCTCTGACAGCAGTATTCCAGGCAGCCTGGGATGCAGCAGCAGCAGCAGCAGTATATGGCTGAGAGAATATTCTCCTCAGGAAGCTGTGCTCCCACTCAAACACCAGGTGGCACTGCTATGCTCTATCAGAGCTGCAATCAAGCTACAGCTGCCTAGTGTTTTTACTGACACCTAAAGATATTTCTACTGATTTTACTGGGCATATCTACATGAGATACTAAAAACTCAGTAGATTAATTCTACTGTACATTAACGTGGCAGGAAAAAACCATGGTAATGCGCTAACGTGCAGTAGAATTAGTCTACTGTGCAGTAGCGTCACAAAAACGTGCACTGGCACTATTGTGCAGTAGTGTCAATTACAGCACATTAAGTTAGTACCTGTTATTAGAGGTACTAAACTTAATGCATTGTAATTATGGCACATTAAGGCACGTGTAACTGTGCCCACTGACAGCCATTTTAACCTGATTTTTTAGTGACAGCCAGTAAATTTACTGACAACCCTGTTGGCAACCCTGGCTAGTGACCTGCTGCATGACACAGGTACTGTCTTTGTTGTTTACTCACTTTGCATAACAGCATATTCCTGTTATTACAGGGAGCTGGGAGTTCACTTCAGATCTTGCAAGAAGAAACAGAAGTTCTTGAGCAAATTCAGCAGCTCTTCCCAAATTTCACTTCTATTCCAATCTACAATGATGAGGCAGACCCAATGGTGGGATGGTCAGTTCCACAAACATGGAGAGCTGATGTGACCTATGCTGCCATGGTGGTAAAGGTAACTCACAGCCCAAATCATTTCTCAGCAAAGCCAATCTGAAGAGGTGGTGGGATCTAAAAAATTTTTTAACCTAGGCACATAGACTGCAATATATACAATACATAGGCTGCAGGGAAAATTTACAGACCTAGTCATGAGGCTCTTACTTATATTTCACTCTTTATTCAGGCAAGCCCACTTGGAGGTTAGCAGTCATTCAAGTGACTACATATTAAATAAAAATGTCCTGGATGCATGAGTGACAGCAGCCGATCGCCAACCAGGGGAGGGGTGTCCCCCAGAGACTGCTTGATGACTGAGGGAGAGGAGGGTGTCCCCCCACAGTTGATTGCAGCACCAGTGGCAAAACCAGAAGTGCCAGAAGCAGTGGAGATGTGATTTCTCTCAGTGCCACTGGCGCTTCTCAGTGCTTCCGGCACCACTCGGGGGGGCACCAGCCAGCACTTCACTTGGCGCCTCCACTCCCTGCCCGGCAAGGGCCAATCTCGGGGGGGCATATACCCCTCCACCCACGTGCCCCCACTATGTGTTGCCTATGCCTGGATGAATGACGTGGTGGATTTATAAGTCATGGAATGTTTCAGTCAGAGGGCGCACCTACACCTGCATTGGATCTGGGATCAGTTTACTCACAAGTAAACTCATGAGTAAATGCTCCTGGGCAGGAATCTACACATGCAGGGAAGTGGGAGCAGATTTGCTGCTAATGGCAGCAAACTGCTCCTGCTTCCTGGGGCCCTGCAGTGGGCCCCTGCCACCACCAGGGGGAGCTATAAGTACCCTAGGATATCACCCAAAGGGACTGGCAGAGACTACCGCGCCAGGGGACAGCTGTCTCCTAACTGGGGCTGGAATATTACACCCTGCCCCTGGGGGCTGCCTGCTGCTAGGGTGGGGACAATGTCCTCCTATCCTAGCAGCAGGGCGCTCCTGGCCCTGGTGCCCTGAACAGGGGCAGGGAACTTGGAAAGCTGCAGGGGAGGGGCAGGTCCCAGCCCCAATGCACTGCTGGGGCAGCTAGCAGATAGCTTACCTAGGTCACCCAACTGGGTCTTGGGGCTAGGACCTACCCCTGACCAGGACAGTTCCCAGCCCCCACCCCACACATGAGGAGGAGGCTGGGGAACAAGGTGGGGAGCTTGTTCCCTGCTCAGCTCCGCAAGTGCAGAGCTTGGTAGTGAACAGGTTGGGGAGCATGTTCCCCACCCAGCTCCATGAGCACAGAGCTGGGCAGGGAACAGGTTGGGGTGCTTGCTCCCCAGCTTGTTTCCTGCTCATGTCTGCATTGGCGGTGCTGAGCAGGGAACAAGTTCCTCAGCCTGTTCCCCACCCAGGTCCATGATCATGGAACTGGGCATAAAATAGGCTCCCCAGCCCCTGCCAGCAGGGAGCTCCCAGCGCCAGCTTCACAACTGTAGGGCCATCACTGGGAGACCCTTATCTCCCAGCACCAACTCCATGGTCATGGGGCCAGCGATGGGAGACCCTTATCTCCCAGCTCCCTACTCCTCAACTGCGATGGTGCAGCAGGGCCTGGGAGATAAGGATCTCCCAGCCCCTGCTTCCCAATCATGATTCTGGAGCAGGGGGTTTGGAGCTGTTGCCCTTCAGTGGACAACTGACCAGGAGGAGATTTGCTCCAGGTTAGTCATCTACACAAGCACTACTGCGCCAGTACTAATTTAAAGTACTTGCTACTTGCATTTTCAGGTAGTACATGTATTTGCAATTAGCGAGGTTTACTGTGTAGTAAGCATGTGCACATATTAACTAGGCTACTGCGCAGTTAAGTGTCTCATGTAGACATGCCTAGAATTTCATACCTTCATTCCAAAGCAAGCTTACTTCCTACTACTTTTTTGATGCTTACATAATATCCTGCCTCTCATAATGGAGTCAGAAGTGCACACAGGCAAGCCTTATTTACTATGGAGGCTTCTTTTGGTGAGAGCTAACACTGAACTTTTCAGAGCAGCAGTCTACAAGCTATCTGTTGTCTCCAGCAGACTTTACTTCATCAAAATGTATATGAACTTTCTACAACCTCCTCATGAATGTGTTAGACTGACTGGTGATCCTTTTTCACTACAGTATGCAATAGCTGACACAAAAGCATTAAGTCAGTTAAAGAATGGCTACTCATCATTCCTTCATGGTTCACATTTAATGATAAAATATCACCATGTTCTTAAGACTTTTTGTACCTAGCAGCTTAGAGGGAGAAAAAAAAATAAATCAGCCTTGAGCCATAAGAAGACATACCATGTCTGACTTTAAAATATTTTTAAATAGGTCCCTGACAAGATTGAGATGGATAGAATTAATTACATTTGTGGTTGTTTTAAAATAGGACAACATAAATGTGGGTTATTAGATTAAGGTCTCTTGTATATTTTATGCCAGAGATGCTCAGCCCCCAGCCCATGGGCCATATCTGGCCTGCAGAACTGTGTCGTCTGACCCATGGGGCTCCCAGGGGTCTGGAAATTTGGCAGTGGGGGAAATGGAGGCAGCATTGCTTTGTTTACTCAATTCTAAGACAAGGTTTTTTCACCATTTTAGAATCACGAACAAGGATAGTGGGGGCAGAGAGCATCTGTGGCTCGGGCTTCAGCCCCTACCCAGCATTGGGACCGTAGCTGCAGCTGCTGCCTGGCTCCCCAACTTGCACTGCGTTTGCACCCTGGAATCTCTGTCCTGCAGCTTCTTCCCCCCAGCACCCCCCTCCTCACCCACAAAGTCACTGCTCCCCCATCAGCCTCTCTCCCTGCCCCCTTGCCCTTACTTCAGCCAGCAGACTATGTCCACACTGCAGCCTGGGACACTGAGCATAATCTCAGCCCTGCCTCATAGCAGCAGCACATAATCCTCACAGCTACTACGGGTGCTGGGCTGTGGCCATGCTCAATGCTCCAAATTAGAACACGGATGGAGCCTGCCAGTAACAAATTTATAAAAATTTTATTTATAGAATTTACTTCTTGGGAGTTCATCTTAAATTCAAGGTTGACTTGGATTCAGATAAATATTAATGATATAATTATATAATGATATAATATAATTATTCAAATAATTATTTGAATAATAATAAATAAATAAATTGTTGCTTCCAATTTCTGGATCCATGGGGAGCCCTACAAGCCAGATACAATCTGGCATGCAGGACCATATTACCAGTGCATGGCCAGATTAGGCCAACATACAATCGAATCAGGCCAGTGCAGGATCAAGGCCATAGACCAATTCCATGTACTGACCCCACACGTGATCCAGCCTCTCAACCACCCCTGTGCTAGTCACCCAGCCCATGGGTCATTCCAGAAGATTGGGTGCCAGTGTTTTACAGTTCTGATGTTGCTGTCAAAGTCCTGCGCTTCAACTTCTAGGGTATCTGACTTCAAGACTTCACCAGATTCTGCTCTGGCCTATACCTTTGATCCAACTCCTTGTTGCATTCTTCATCATTTTACAAAGGAATAAAATGAAGCACTGCATGAGTGCAGGCACATCTACATGAGGTGCTTTACTGCACAGTAGACTAATCTACTGCACAGTAAAGCATTACCATTTATACGTGCGCAGCATTTACTGCAAATTGCTCCCAGTCAGCCCAGGCAGCAGGGACCAAGAGAACTGTCCCCTCCCTGGGCAGCTGCTTACTTCCCAGCCCCCTGCTGTGATTGGCTGACCAAAGCAGAGGGTGGGGTCCCACTCCCTACCCCTGGCAGTTGCCTGCTACCCAGCCCCCACTCCAAGATCAGACTGGGGACTGGTGCCATCCCCTGCCCCAATAACTGCCTGTTGCCTGGCCCCCACTGTGACTCAGGGCAGGGGACAGTGTCCCAGCCCTTGCTCCAATCTTGGAGCAGGGGCTGGGCAGCACACAGCTGCCCAGGGCAGGTGTGCAGGGCTGGGAGGTAGTTGCCTCAGAGGCAGGACAGCTCCCCACAGAGCCCAGGCCTGACTCTGGTGCCCCCTGCCAGCCTGGGGCAGGCACCCAGGGAAGCTTGGAGTTTGCCTTGGCTGCTGTAAGAGAGAAGAGCAAAGCAGAGTAGCCCTGCACTGAACTGCTCCTATCAGGAGCAGATTTGCTCCCAATGGGCACGTGTAGACACACTCCCAGGGAAAGCTTACTGCATGGTATTTTATTGTGCAGTAAGCTTTCAGTGCATTAACAGCATGTGTAGAAGTGCCTAATGTCACTCAACAAAGAACAGAAACCAGGGGCTAAAACCTGTATGCTATGACACTAGCATAAATTCAAAGTAATTCCATAAAAATAAAAACAGTAGTCCTGTTGACAGAAGGAGGACATACTCGCCTGGTATAAATCCAGACTGCTAGTCCAGTCCTTTGAGCTGTTTTATAATGAATAGGATTAGAAGTCCATTAATGCATTCTTAAGTATTCTTGTTTCCATCCTCCCTGAACTCTACACTTCGTGATAGTACATGTACATTTTCACTGTAAATATAATAGATCACAAAACTCTGCAGAAATCTGCTACAGCCATCTGTACTGACCTCCAGCTAAGAATACCTGCATCTTCCTCATTGCATAGCATGTTTATAAAACTCTTCCTCTGCGCAGAGCTTTATGTTCTTACAAGGAACCTGCTGCTCTGCTTCTGTCCTCACATGTAGGTTTAATCCTTTACATCTGATTAGATGTATTGCTGCAATCTTACTAATGACCTAATTTTAGCCAGGTCTTACATAACCCAAAGCCACTCTAAGACCTTCATGAATTTAGAAGCCAAAATGTTGTGTGCTGTTGCTTTTGTTGCATATACATTGCAAGTTCCTCTCTTCACCTTGCATACACTTGAGCTGCACATGAATTAAACTATTTCTCTATAGCTAGCTTCACCAAGATAGCAAAGAGGCAAGAGTGCTCTCACTTGCTGTTTCCAGTGTATAATAGCAAGTTAAATTGATCCCACAAGGAAATAATCCAGTAGCTTCAATACTGTGCATTGTATATCCAGTGTTCAGTAGAAAATAGGAACTTCATTAGTTTTTCACTAACTTCATTAGCTTTTCAGTTAAGTAATCAGAAAAAATATTAGATTTTTTTAAAGAAGAAATTTAATCTTCTCTGTCACTTTGCAGATAATCATCCAACATCAAAACCTGCTCATTTCCAAGGCCAACAACACTATTAACTATACCTTGCTGAGTAATGATAATGCCTTCATGAACTACTACCCCCATTACTTTACCCAGAGGACACTAACTGCACGATTTCAAATGAACGACACAAAACCGCCACATGTTCAGATGGTGAGGAAGCCAGTGTTGACTGCAATGGGCCTTCTGGCATTGTTAGGTATGGTAAATATGTCTTTAAAAAGAAGTCACTTATTCCAGGTCCCATTCTCATTAAAATTAGATGCATGAACTCCATCATGTCATCTATTCTAAGTCTCTTCCTAGCTCTAAATTCACTAGTTGGTCAGTCTCACAAAGAATAGAGTTTCCACCACTTCCCACTGGAGACAAATAACTTTGATATCAGTGTGTTTGTAGTCTATTTTCCCTTCAGCACAGTCAAAATCTTCTTATGTCTATTTAAACCTCCATATGCCACCTCAGTTACTATCTTCCCTTTCCTATTTGTGGATTGGAAAGGCCTTTGGTCACTGTCTGGTCAAGATTTTCATTTCTTTTTAATGAATCTCTAAATTCTGCTAAGTCTCATCATATAAATCATATGAATCACATATGCCGAAGTCCCAGTGGTGCAAACTGTCATTAAACACTTGTAACCCAGCAGTGCCTGAAAGAAAAGCAACTGGGAGGCCCACACTGCTAGGTACTTGATAATCAGAGTAAAATGATATCCATGCCATGTAGAGTGTTTTGCAAAATAAAGGACTGCTTTCAGTTACAGTGATGTAAGTCTATTGATTTAACCAGTGCTACTCCAACTTTATGCTGGTGTCATTGAGTAACCTGTAGTCCAACACAGACAGTTAGTTACACGTTTCATCTTCTCATGTGTCAGATGCTGGTCTAATTAGCTTTGTGGTAAAAATGTATTTCTGCTTTTTTCAGGGGAAACACAAATTTTTGCAGATGTATACAGCAGCAAAGGTGAAAATGGTAACAATAGCACCGTTGGAGTACTAGCCACTCTACACACCCCTGCTGAGCTACGATCTTCAGATAGCTGGCAAGCTGCCATACTGGTTTACGCTAGTGATGATAACCATACATCATTGAATATCAGTGCTGTAACACTGAACATTACCCAATTCCCCAAATGTGCAGGTAAACACACAGTGCTTAGCATTTTATGTCATGGATCTCCAGCAGTAAGTTTGCACTGAATGTTTTTTGGGTTTTAAACTTCCTGACTGAAGTAACAACGCTCATTTGTACATGCCCAGGAAAATTCTGCTTGGGACTAAAAACCATGCCTGGCAAGCCCAGATTTTCTGGTCTGTAGTATGTCCACATGAGAAAAGAGTTTGGATTCCATTCCTGGAGTTGTCTCCACTCAGTAATGGCTGCTGTGGATGCCACTCTTTCAGAAACTTCACTGCACCTGCACCCTTTAGAACAGTGATTCTCAGCCAGAGTGCCATGGCACCCTGGAATGCCTTGAGATCCTTTCAAAGGTGCCACAGGTACTAGCACTGTTAGGTGTAAAAACAGTATTCACAAGATAAATCCAGAGATTTCAAATAGGAATCCATAGCATTAAGAACATTCTGACCTGTTGGGTTTTTTTTGAACTCCTTGTAACAGAACTGGTTATTATTTTTTTGGAGTCAAAAAACAAGCGAAAACTAAGAGCTGACATTTTCCAAAGGGTGCCTTGAGTCTAATGAGAGATTACTTGAGTCTACAAAGGTTGCAAGCCTCTGCTTTAAAAGCAGCACATTCCCTTCAGGTTAAATATTACATGGTCTATGGGATTTCCTGGTATTGGCTCCAACAAGATTTCTCAGTGTTCAGTCCTTGTAAAAATCAAACCTTTTTTATTTAGGAGCATAATTTTAAGTGCACTGGTTTGGAATTTTTCATCTTAAGCCTTTGTGAAAATCTTATGCTAGGTCTCATTGATTTTCAGAGAAACTCAGTTTATTAAGTCACTTTCTAACTTGGGGCTTATTTGTTTTTTAAAATATTTACCCTTTGGACTTCAAAACTGAATGTGGAGCTTTACGTATTTCTTTTGTGTCTCCAAAGAGCTTGTGTATGTGACGTACTATCTAGACAACAATCTTACCAATCCCTATTTGGAGTGGAGGAAACTAGGAAGCCCTGACTTTCCTTCTGTAAAGCAGTTCCAACAACTAAGGGATGCTGAGGTATGATTGTATATGGTGGGTTGAGGCATCGGCATTTATAGTAGCAGCTAAGGAGTTGAAAAAATTGAAGGATGTTTTGCATGGGATTATTAAATCCAGAAAAGTGTAGTGCTGAGAAGGGAAAAAATAAAATGCAGGGCAGACTGAGATACACTTATATCTCAAGCTTCATCCTTGCAGCTCTCCAACCACCATATAGACACATTTAACTTAAAGGATGACGTCTTTGCAGATTTTGCTCTTCTCTGCTGTCAGCCATTCATTCTAGATCTGCCAGAAGTCCTGAATTGTTAACCCTTCTAGGGCTCCGCAACTGGTGCAGCAAGGATCCAAAGCCTTAAATTCAGTGTCAGCTGCAGGGCCTGGGAAGGAGTAATCTGGCTTTTGATGGTGGCAGCTGACACCTGCACTTGCAGCAATATCTTAACCCCCACTATGCCCCATGGAGCATTCTGCTCCCTGCCTCCAGCACCTCCCTTTACTGAGCACTTGGGGCCTGTGTGCCACACACAGCAGCTGCCCGTGGCACTGCTGGCATGCATGCTACAGGTTGGCCACCCATGGCCTAGACAAAGATAAAGACATTTCTACCATAATAAATAGGTATGAAGCCTCATCTTTTTTCTTAACACTTCCATTCCATTTTGCAGGACCCAGCAGTGACAGGACCATTCCCGTTTCCTGAAGATGGCCACCTGCTCTTGAAAAAGGAACTCCCCATTCCATCTGTCTTCTTGATCCATGTTTGTGCAAGACCTCGCTCTGTTCCCAACCAAGTACGTATCATATTTCATTGCTATGTGGCCAAGTTAGAAACTGGTCCCACACTGTCTATTGGCATCTGATTGGAGATGTTAGTTACTGATGGGTGCAATGTACAGTGAAACCCAAGTCATTCATAGTTGGTCCTACAGAACTGATCAGAGAAGCAGTGCCCTTTGAAGAGCCACAGCAAACAATTGGAGCATCTCAGTGGTCTTATACAGCTATTTGCTGTGGTTCTACAATTCCCTAGTTCATAAATCTTCATATTCACAGTGAGCAAGGAACCTAGCCCTGCAAATATTCAAGTTCTATTTTATCACCATATACTTTTTAAAGGCTGCACAGAAGGTTTATTTAAAGCAGAGAGACCAACTTCATTTGATAGCTAGATTCCATGAATTGCAATTGCATTCCAGTATAAAACCCCCCACAAGAGATGGCAGATCATATCAGCTGAACTAAAATCAAAATCTGCCAGCACCAGAAAAAAAAACTTTAGTGTACTGTAAGGACAATACTTTATAATCTTATCAGTTCTAACAGTAAAATGATTAAAAATAACTTTTCAGCAAGCAACATATTCATATTTTATAGCTACATTATGGAATAGTGAGCGTAGTGGATCAGACACCATATCCGTGTCTTCTGATGCCCAAGCCTGAATAATGAGTATGTCCAAAGTTGGGCTGGATGCTTTCAACTTCCTGTGCAGTTAGTGGGAGGATTTGAGAATGCTGAATGACTTGCAAGACTAGGCGCAGAATGGTAGGGTCAAGAATTTGGTTGAAAAGGGCATAAGATGTAGTTCCAAAACTCTATACTGGGGCAGCATAATAAGTGGTCTGTTTTGTTTCCTTTCTATAGAAAGTAAGCTACTAAAAATTCCCAAAGAAAACAATGAGTTGCTGAGCACTCAAACTGGTGCAGGGGGAGTAAGGGAGGGTATTAGGTTACTTACATAGGTTTCTAAATATGGGGAACTAAGTTTTATCTACTTTTACTTGGTTTATTTATTTAGTATTTTATTGTTCTACTTCAAAATATCCAGGCCAACCCTTTTAAGTATAAACATGATCTGATAGCTCTGATCATTTAGAGTAGGGCCTTCAAACTTATTGGGCCCCATATTCTTACATGGGCATCTCTTTTTGACAGGTAACAGGAGTTTACCTTCTACCACTCACAAAGGAGCAAGTTGCTGTATTGTGGGATGATGACCATGTGGATTCAAAGTATGTGCTTTTTTAGAAATGGAGCTAACCAAAGTTAGCAGGACAGGGATCTGATGTTAGGAGGAGCCTGGCAAAATTAAGACAAAGCTGCTAAGCAAAATCTGCCTGCCTGCATGCCACAGCTAAGCACAAGGCATTATCCCTTTCGAACTATCAGGTTTTATTCCTAATGCAACTTGTATGCACTGTGGCCTCAACCAGTGTAGAATCATTAGAACCCGTGTGCAGTATCTGCCATGAAGGTACCCTGAATAGCCTCTTGCCTATTTTGCTGGTTCATTTGAGGGATCAGCCTTCTATCTTTCAGGCTGCCACAATGGCAAATCAAGATGCCTTGTTTCTCTGGAAGAGATAGGCTTCACAAACACTCCGGTGTGAAAGAAAGCTTTTGTGCCAAATCCAGTCAAAACTATCCCTGCAAAACATAAATGATACTATCTGCAGGGACAGAGATGGTAAACTACATCCAATAGGTATCAGCAGGCAATCTGCATACATTCTAGCCCAGAAACTCACTGATGTAGGTTGCCCTGCAGATCAGAGGCACAGTAAACACCCCAACTCTTAAAGCATCCCTTTTAACTAGTCAGTCAGGGCCAGCATACCTGCCTCATAGGCCTCAGCCTGCACGATGTAAAACATCTTCACTAAAATGCAAGTCTTGACTCTCCTTCTGGTTTCAGTAAGAGCGGAAGGTGCTGTGCAATGTTTCAGGTGCTCTGAACACATTGCACTATTTTTCAGCCAGCCTTGATGTTCTTCTGTGGGCTTTTATCACCACACCCACTGCCTAACAGTAAGTGCTAGCTTTTATTTGGAGGGGATGATGCAGTACAGGATTTTCTGCTAGTGTGCAACACCAACCATTTCTCCTCGCTGATATGGCATGGTGGAGTAGGACATGGCCTTTCCATGGCCACCACTGTAGTCATGGAGTCATGATTTCTTTTCTAGGTGCATAAAAACATTTGAAGTAGAGTTTTCGCCAAATGGAAAAACATACCAAAGGATTAATACCAGAGACACTATATTCACTCTCTGGGTCTACAGTCCAGGTAAAGCAAGCATGCACACTTTGTATGTTTTGTTACATTAGAATTTGTAATCAGTTAAAAATATAACTTAGGGCAGAGCTGCCCATCTAACAGGATGCAGGGCATATGTAGCCTCCAAGGGGTTAGAGTGTCACCTGTGGGCTCCTGCCTAACTGCAACTCCCCAATCCCTGCTGGATTCTTTGGGCTCCCTCTTCCTTCTTCAGCTTCTACTTCCTGCACCCAGGGGACAGCACAGTGAGAGGGGGCCCAGCTGGGTGTGCAGTGGGGAGCAAGGTGTCTGTGCTGCATGGGGAGAGAGCCAGACTGCTCTCACTGCATGCAACAAAGGCAAGAGATAGGCTTCCCATGCTGCAGGAGCATGGCATGTGTGTCTGGGATGAGAGAGAGGCACTGTATGTGCAGCTAGAGGGAGATGGAAGGGAGATTTACCACACATCAACTGTCCAAGGTAATTGTTTCATGTATCTGCTCCTGTCCTGTCTCAGCTATGTTCCCTCAGTTTATCTTCCACTTTTTGCAGAATAGTAGCAAACATACAAAACAGTTACTGTGGAATAGTTGATGTGTGGTAAGTCTCCTCCTCCTCTTTCAACTTAATATACTTAGTTCCTCAGTCCATACACCAAGTCATGTTTTCAGTGCCATTACATTATGTATGTAGTACCAGGCATATTTCTGTCAGTGAATTCCCAGTAATGAGACCAGATGTCTCCCTTTAGCATCATGCCCTAAACACAGGTGGTGCAAATCTTAGTCATGGTGACAAGCACAATGAGCACTTTTTATAAGCATTGCTGTTAAAGCCTACAGACTTTATATAGAAAGGCTGTTAAGGAAAGATTATGCTCTCTCTTCTAAAGGTATGAGTCTGAGACCCTTGATCATAGAATCATAGGAAAATAAGGATGGAAGGGACATCATGAGATCTAGTCCAGGCAGGATTGTCCCAGTCTGAACCATCCCAGCCAAGTATCAGTTCAACCTGCTTTTGAAAATTGCCCAGGATGGAGGCTTTACGACTTCTCTAGGTAGCCTGTTACAATGCTTGACCCTCATGGTCAGAAAGTTCTTCTAATCTTCAACCCAAATTTCCTTTGCTGCAATTTAAGACCATTACTCCTAGTCTTGTCTGTTACAACTGCAGAGCAAAGTCTATCTCCATCTTATTTATAATCATCCTTCAGCCAGATTTCCCTTTTCCAGATTAAAAAAAATCAGTCCTTTCAGCCTTTCTTCCTAAATCTAGCTTCTCAGGCCTTTAATAATTTTTGCTGCTGTCCTTTGGACACTTTTGAATCCATCCACATCTTTCTTAAAGTTTGGGGCCCAAAACTGGTGAAGCCAGGTGAGGCCTCACCAGTGCTGAATAGAGCACAGGAGTCACTTCCCTTGATTTGCAAGACACTCTTGTTAATACAACCCAGCAGACTGTTGGCTTTTTTCCAACAAGAGCACAATCTTGGTTTATATTCATTTTATGGTCTACTGTAATCTTCAGGTCCTTCTCTGCAGTACTCCATCCTAACCAATTATACCCTAGTCTGCATTTATGCATGCAATTAATTTCTCTCAAGTACAGGACTTTGCATTGTCCTTGATGAATCTCATCTGATTGATTGAGGACTATTTTCCAGTCTCTCTATGTCGCTCTGGATCCTGGCCTTGCCCTCCAGAGTATCTTCCACTGCAAATTTGATAAGCACTTAGTCCCATCATGCAAATCATTAATGAAGATATAGAGCAATACTAGACCCAGAACAAACCCCTGGGGAACTCCACTCGATACTCCCTCCCAGCTAGAACTTGAGCCACTGAGGACTACTTGCAGAGCATGATGATCCAACCAGTTATATATCTACATTACATATTTTCATCTATTTTGTATTTCCTTAACTTGTTAATGAGAACATTGTGAGAAATAGTATCAGAAGCCTTGCTAAAGACAAGGTGTATCATATCCACTGCTCTCCCCACATCAAGAGAGCCTGTCATCTTATCACAGAAGGAAATCAGTTTGGTCAGGCCCAATTTGCTGGTGGTGAATTCATGCCGACTGCTCCTGATCACCTTGTTCTTCTCTAGGTGCCTCACAATAGTTTCTTGAGGACCTTTCCATGATCTTTCCAGATATCAAGGTCAGGGTGACTGGTTTGTAATTCCCCAGATCCTCCTGTCTTCCCTTCTTAAAGATGGACGGGCACTATATTTGCTTTTTCCAGTCATGTGGGACCTCACTGACTTCCACAAGTTCTCAAAGAGGATAGTTAATTTCTCTGAAAGTACCTCAGTCAATTCCTTCAGCACCCTCAGTTACATTCCATCTAGCCTTACTGATTTGAAAGCATCCAGCTGCTCCAAGTAATCTCTAACTGGTTCTTCTACTACTCTAGGCTGTTTGTCTCCTTCCCCATCTTTGCTGGCAGCTGCAACTGTCATCTGGTAGCTGCCCCTATTTGTGAAAACTGAAGGAAAAAAGGCCTTAAGTACTTCAGCCTTTTCTGCATCATCTGTAACTAGATTGCCTTCTGTGTTCTTGTAACAAGCAGGCCTCCCAGGGCCGATCTCAATCTGGGTCTGCCCACTAGTTTCCAAGCTAGCCACCCGCCCATCTCACCTGCCATGCTTTGATGTTCTGGTTATCTGATGTTAATCAGGCAGGAGGCTCCCCTTTTACCTGCCTTGATGACAAGGGCCTCTGTACACACTCCAACCTCACCTTGACATGTCCCACACCTTGTAGATGTTTCCTGGCCTAACACCCGGCCTCACAATCATTATGGCCTGACACCCAGCCTCATCCCTGGGCTTACTAGCTCCATCCTCTGGCTCCAGGCCCTGTCATCAGGCTCCAAGCACCATCCCCGGGCCACAGGGCTCTCCCGGCTTTAAGCCCCATCCTCAGGCTCCAAGCCCTGTCCCTGGGCATCACCCACTCTCTATATCTCTGGGTCCCAGGCCCCCTCACTGGGCTCCAAGCCTCTCACAATGGGACTAGGGCTACAAGCCTTGTTCCCCCTGGAGCCTAACACCCAGCTCCATAATGCACCCAGGCTCTTCTGCTAGACTGGGTGCTGCCACAGGTCCCTCCACCAACCTGCACCCTGCCTCAGTGTTTGCAATGAGCCTGGGCTCCCCCTGTCTCAGGTCTCACCCACCAGGGATGTGGGGGCTGCAGTTTTCAGGCATCCCTACTCGCCTTTCACCGAGTGAGGTAACTGGCCTGGTATTTCTGGGGGGCTACACTGCCACAGATAGCTCCACCAGACCATTCATCCCTGGCAGGGTGCAGTTTTGGGTCATGCCCAGGACCTTGGGGCCTCCTCCATCCCCATCACCCCAGCTGTTACCTCCAAGATGTTTCAGGCAGCAACTCAGCTAGATGTTGCCTCCTAAACTGGCAGCAGCAGACTGCTGCCCTGCAGTTCAGGGACCCAGCCCTTCTATGCACCTGTTCCTCAATCAGGCAACTCTACTTGATTAGGACCACAGGCAACTGTGGGCTGCCTGGCTGCTGCTCAGGCCCCTGATAGTAACAGAGCACAGGGTGCTCTGTTACAGTTCTGTAAAGGACCGGTGGTTTCTTTGGTTTTCTTGGGTGTCTGTAGACATGCGGGATGCCTGCTCCAACATGCTGCAATTACAGTGCATTGGAATCTGCTGGAGCATGCTAATTAGCACACTCCAGGAGCCTTGGTGTCTCATGTGTTCAGCATCCCTGCACTTCAAAATGCAGGGAGCTTTAACTAAAGCTCATCAAATGAGTTTTAGTTAAAGCAACCCCGCCACCATTTTGAAACATAGGGACACCGAACACATGAGATGCTGCGCGTGCTTTAATTAGAGTGGCTCCCAAGAGCTGCTCTTGGGAACTGCTCTAATTAAAGCACCCCTCTCTTACTCTTGATGTACTTGTAAAACCCATTTTATTGCCTTTTATATCTCTTACCAGTTGCATCTCAAATAATTCCTTGGCTGCCCTAATTTTCTCCGTACATGCCTGTGTGATATTCTTATACTCTTCTCCAGTACTATGACTGATTTTCTACTTTTTGTAGGATTCCTTTTTTGAGTTTCAGTTCATTGAAGAATGACTGTCTAGCCAGGCTGGCCTCCTGTTGCAGTTCCTATTCTTCGGTTGCATTGGGATAGCTAAATCCTACATCCTTAAAAGGGCCTTCTTAAAGTATAGCTAGCTCTCCTGGACATGGAGAAGTTAGAGAGGGTCCTACAGTGGGTGACAAAAATGAAAGGTCTTGAAAGGCAAGTCATAAGAGGAGAGGTTGGAGGAAATAGGCTTGTTTAGCTTGTAGAAACAACACTTTGATAGAAGTCTTCAAATATATGAAGGGCTGGCCTAAAGAAGGGGGAAAATACCAGAGAGCAGAACATGGACTAATGGCTTAAAGTTGCAGCAAAGTAGGTTTAGATTGGACATCAATAAAAACTTCACTGTTAAAACAGTGAGGCAATAGAATAGGCTGTCTAGGTGCCTAGGGAAGTTGTGAAATTTCCATCACTGAAGGTGGTCAACAATACGTTAGATGAGCATTGTTCAGGGATGATGTAGGAGTAGTGCCTAGGCTCTACTATGAGTATTTCCATGCTTCTGGGCTTTGCTGATTTTGATGGGATGGTTTGGATAAGGATGATTCTGCCTGTGGCTGGGGATTTGGACTAGATAACCTCTTCATGTCCCTTCTAGCCCTACTTTTCCATGTTTCTACCTTTGCTGCTGATAATTTTCATAGGCTTGAATACCACACAGTCTCCATTTGCCTATGGCCATGTAGCACTCTACTGACAGCAGGATGACCTCCTCATAATTCAGGCAAAAGTCCCATGGAAATCAATGAGCATTTTTTTTAAGTATGGGCAAAAGATTATAGAAACTGGCTTAGAAGAAGAAAGAATGTGGTAGGGTGGTATTCTAAAATATAAAAAGGTTCAACCCAAGTTATTTGGCAGTTTGATGGCATTGATTACAGTAATAAACACTGATTAGATTGTACATATATAATCTTATTAGAGATAAAAGTTGTATTCTGAGTGACATACTCTGAGGTACAGTTCAGAGGGCAGTTTACTGGAAACAAAGGTTTGCCTTGACTGTGAACATTTCTGATACAACTAGCTGAAGTCAGGTTCTCTTTTTAAATTCAAAAGACTGTTAGAGCATTGATAAAGATGAACAGATAAGCACAAGCTCAGGTCATGGCTCAGTCAGGACTCCAAGGACAGAGTGCAAAGTCATATGGTGGTACAGGACATGTATCTTAATACTTTAAGCTATACATTTTGGTAGGAATAAAATACATCTGACCAGCAGGACAGAATACTTCTTACTTGAGTTATTGCCAAGTATAGGCAATTACATTTCCTACTTTATTTTAAGAAAACCCATAACCATTTCATTGTGAGGTGTAAACTCTTTGCTAATGAATGAAGTTCAAAAGTGACCTAAACAAGGGCAGGCCTACAATCCAGTGCAGTTCAGAAGTTACAGAATAGCACACCTGCATCTCAAGTATCTTTGGCATGAGACTGCTTCTTTAAGAAACATATAAATTCTGTTGGTTTTGCCAGGAGAGCTTTAAGGATCTTAAAACCAACCTGTAAACTTTGCAAGCATACAGGGACATTGTACCACTCCTTCAGATTTACCCTGCTCTGAATGCTCAGTATCTCTTAGTCAGAACACAATTACATCAAATCTGATATAGTCAAATTGAAGTGTAAGCAATAGTAAAGGAAACCATGATGGCTTTGGATAAATCAGTTACTATTATAGACACAGCTTTTATATTAACACTGTAGCCATACTTCAGTGTCCAGATAAGGACAAGACATATGCTGGATACGCAACAAGCACCAGTGAATAAGTCAACACTTAATTACCTGCAGATTATCCTTTGTAGGTGGCTGCCCAGTACAAATATGTGATACCTAAGAGGTAGAAATTCCTACTAGAACCCAGCCATAGATCTACTGTTTTCCACAAATGTATGCTTTACAGCAAGGGTGTCAAATGTATAGCCTTAGAGCCAGATCTGGCCCACAGAGCTCTATCATCTGGCCCCCATTGTTGCCTGTGGGTCTCAGGGTTGACCCACAGGCAACATGTTGGGCACCCTGGTTGGCCCCAGCACACACCCCAGAGCAGCAGAGCAGCGGCTGCATGCAGCATAGCCCCAGGGAGCTGGAACACATCCACACTACGCACAGAAACCACTCCAGCCCCTCCAGGACAGACATGCACAGCCATTCTGTGGGTCCAGTCCTCCCTGTGGACTGGCCTTGCACTGTTCATCCAGTCCACAGGGCCAGGTGAGTTTGAAACCCCTGCTTTACAGGGACAGTGGCTTTTCTAGCACATGACTGTCTTTTGCAGTAATCATGTTTGATCTCCTCATTTGTAGGAAGCATAGTTTCAGGCTTTTACAGAGTGCGTGCTGTTGACTACTGGGGCAAGCCAGGCCTTTTCTCCATTCCTGTGAAGTACACTGAAGCTCCTGAATGAAAAAGAAGAGAAAGCCATGAGTCTGCCTGCAGCATGTGGCAGAGCAGCATAGGTTACTGCCAACTACAACCTCCCCAAAACAAAACTTCACCTTAATTTATGTGGGAAGAGAGCAGTGACATGATGAAGCATGTTGGAAGGCAGTATTGTCAGCTACTGTCGTTGATGCTGCTTGAAGACAACATACAAACAGCAAGAACACCGACAATTGGACTCCTGCTATTTTTGTAAAAGACTAACACCGGACCAGGATTTGCTTTGTTAATTGGTGGTCAGGAAGAAATAATTGGCCTTGCCTCTTCCTGTATTCCAATAGTGGAACTCACCTGACAGCAGCAGACTTGGGGTCATAAAAGCAGAACAGCACAGTGAGAATGGGGCCATGGTTCCAATGTACAGACTGACTGACTAGGCAGAGGCAAACAGCAAAGTCACAAACTGGGCCCATTGGAGCATTCTCAGGCAGACCCCAATGGGGAGTTGAGGGGGTGACTGAATTTCCTTCCCTGCTAGCTAGGAATATGAGTAAAGGCAAAGCTCTGTCAGAGGTGAATGTCTTCCAGTGCAAGAACAAAGCAACCTTTTCTGTCCTTCTTGGGCTGCTGTCCCAAGCCCTGTAAGCTGTGGGTGTTACTTGGCAGTGCCTTTTCCTAAAGGATTCTAGGAATTCAATGAAATTTGTTGGCCCACTTTCTCAGGAGGTGCAGAGTCCTTCAGCCCTGTGTGTAAGAGCTTCTTGGCAGTCATTTGCCCATTGCTGGGCCTTACCTACATGCACAGAGCCCTGCTTCCAGCAAGATTGAGAGAGGAAAGCATCCCCTTTTCTAGCATGCATGGGCTTGTGCCTGTATGCTTTTTTGTTCTCTCTTTTTCTTCAGAGGTTTTAAATCACCATCCCTTCACCTCTCCCAACCAGGACTTCCCAAACTGTAGGCTTTCTCAGTCACAGCAATGAGGCCAGACAAAGACAACCTGCTTCCCTGTTCCCTGCAGCCTTGCTTACTCCTAAGTCACATGCCCAAGCTGCAGACTGCAATTCCCAGTGTGCAGAGCCTTAAATAAGCCAAAGCCTGTGACAGATAGAGTGGGTTATGCATTCCTTCTGTAATCAGCTAACTGCTAAAAGACCCAGATAAAGTAGGCCCTAGAATTGTACATGGCAGAGGGCTCGCCTTGGGCACACTTTTTAGGAAACTTAGCAAAGAATGCTTCAGTAGCTTGTTTTTTACAAAACTTTTTAAAAAGAGTTACACAAAAAGATAAAGCCAGTATTATGTCTAGATTGCCTTCACATGTTAATGGTTGTTTTGTAAGTCAAAGTGCCTTAAAGTTACATCAGTGTAGGTTGTAGCTGTGCTGGTCTTAGGACATTCACAGACAAGGTTCTTTGGGTGAATCTGATATATTTTATTAAATTGGTCTAATAAAAGATACCAGATTCACCAAAAGAACCTTGTCTGCTTAAAGTTACATCTGTGTTTGAGTCAACTGGATTACTGTTTTGTCTCTTTAAAGTGCTCCCAGAAGGAAGTAGACACTACAGGAAAACATTGCAGTAAAATATTAGGATATTCTGTAATAGGGAAATAAGCCTCTGTCACAAACATCTCTTATAACGTTCCCACCACTGATATAAAGTACATCATCAGTTTAACACAAAGCAAGCTTAGTTGTGTGTATGGGTAGATCCAGGATTTCAGAAAGTTGTCAGAAAGGGGATACAGGAGCAGTGGCATGCACTGCAGGGTTAGTTTCACCCTAGCTCCCAGCATCCCTCCTTGTTGCGGACAGGCTGAATTGCAGAAGCAGCAACAGGGACTTTTCTAAAGTCCTTCAAGCAGGTAAGAAGGCTCCCCTTCCTTCCCCTCCATGATTAGCTGTATGTTCTCTTGCCTTCCCTTGCATTCCCTCCTTCCCCTACCCACTGATGCCACTGGTGCTGTCCCCAGCTGAGACAGGGACAAGGGGCTTCAGTCGCTCCCGCCCCACTGCAGCCAGGCTATGCATGAAACCAGTGTTGGCTAGGGGCAGTAGCAGTAGCAGGCAGGTTCCCTTCCCCAACACTTGCTGGCTGGCAAGGAGCAACCAGGGGGACTGGGCAGGGAGGAGAAAATCCAGCTGCTGCTCCTTCTGTCCCTGAGTGAGCCTGTCTCCTCCCAGGACCCAGCTGGATTGTCCAGCACAGCTTTGAAGCTGCCCTCTGCCCCCTCCCTCACCTTTGCCTCTGGGGTAGCTGGAGACAACAGCAGCAGTGGGCAGGGAAGGAAAAGGGCAGGTGTAATTCTTAATTTCTTCTGGGACTTAAAAAAAAATTCCCTGACTACTTCTCCTGTGATGTGGTCAACTGAAAGTTGGGTGTATCTGTGCTACTGTCCCCCCACCCCCAACCCTGGTTGCCTGGCAACATAAAGTCAGCTGTAAAACAAGATTTAGCCTTGTGGATTCAGATGTGATTTTCCCGCACCCCATCCATATATAAGTAGCCTGAGTAGATGATTGAGATGATATAGGCTAAATTTCGAATACTTCAGTAGTGCAGTTATTCCCTTTTACAGTCCTGAAGAACCTACTCCTGACTTTTTCTTAAAAAAAATATTGCAGAAGACCAGGCAGACCAGACTCATTTAATTTGTTGATTTTAGCAGTTAAGAACATAATCAAATAGCAGCAATATAGGTATACTACATTACCCATTGTCTGGTCTGATTTTGGTGCTGATATTTCACAGAATGAGCTGAATATGCCTGCCTAATATTCCAATGTTTATAGGCCACTTGTTTACCAGAAATTGACCAATACAGTATTTCATACATCATAATTTTCCATACATTATCAATAGTACATAAATTAGTTCCTGCCAGTTTCTGATCCAGTTTTGAACAAAACACTCCAGAAACTCAGAGGACTTAAAGGTGTTGTGTCCCAAAACAGTTCCTAGTAAGGAAGAGATGTTTATTGGACACTACTAGAATTATCCAAGCAGTTTAGTATTTTGGTGCCAACTTAGCATAATAAAAGTATAACGGGAGTTTGGTTTACAACTTTGGTAAGGATCCTACAATATATCAGATTGCAAGTTGGTTTGAAGTTGGCTTGAAGCCCCTATTATACATTGAAGACAATGTTTTAGTTAACTCAGTTTATTTCTGCTCCCTCCCCAATCTGCTATGTGCCACACAAAAAGACTGCCTGTGCTACTTGTGGTACCCATGTTCTAGTATATCTACTGATGGACAGAGATATAGATGAGAGTAGGTTGGAGTATGGTACAGGTATGCAACATGTTTACCTTGGGAGAATTTGTCTTGGATATTACTTCTGAATAAAAATACATTGGTGTCTGCAACAGACATGTGACCGAGTCTCTGGAGGTATGTACCCACAGTAGCTGCTACTACAGTACCTTGAAACTGGGTGAGAGGCAGCCAACAATAGCCTGTTTGTACAAAGCAAAAGGATACCCCTGGACAAAATGGACTAGAATGATGGACCCATAATCTGTACATAGGTGTATGGATACTTGTTTTCTGAAGGATAATTTTACCCCAGAGTTGAGCGATCAATGTAAAGCTGCACATGGACACACTCTGTATCCGCTCTACTTTTGTCCCAGAGATAAAGTCACAATAACTCGCAAGTAAGTGTGTTATTATCTACATCCAAAGTTTAACTTGTTACACAGGCATTATTTTGCTGCACTTTTACTTTTTCTAATGCCGTATACCATACTATTTCTGTATCTGATTGTATTTGTGTAATTAATGCAAAAAGTCTCATGGAGGATAATTTTTATATTGTATAAACCTGCAAAATACATTGCACCTATCACTATATCTTATAAAATACCTTGAATTTACAATAAAACTGGTTCTCAGCCTTTCATATGACTGTTATTCTTTCATCCAATCATAAGGGAACAGATTCTGGCAATAATTCCCACTCCAAACTCTCAAGTTCACAACATAATATAAATCATGTGAGAAGGCCGTAGCAAGGTACAGGATTCAGTTTGGTTTATGGTTCTTATACTGGATTCCAGTATTACCTCAAAAGTGAGCATTAAGGATCTGCATCCTACTATCCTATTTGCCATCCTATTTCAGAAATAAAGCTGGACCTTAACTATGCAGCCACATAGAATGAAGTTACACCCTGGACCATTGTTAAAACCTGCATTGAAATTGTAATGGTAAAGTGATAAAATATGCTATATTGGGCGATCTCCTGAATGAATGCGAGTATGAATGACAAACCAAGTACCTCTGGCTGTTAATTGACAATAGCCTAGCCAGAGGAACTTACTGTTACAAAACTGTACTCTACAAGCCATTTTAAGCTAATCAAGCCAAGGAACTGATTCCTGAAACTAAGCACCCACTCTATTGACTATTTCTGTAACCCATGACAATGCAGCCATTAAGTCAATAAGTCAAGGGTACCAGCAGGCAGAGACCCCTGGGACTAATAGCTGTCATGTAGTACTCGAAACCCATGTGGGACAGTGACCTCCGGATTGGGCAGCCAACATGATGGTGAAGGATCACACAAGTCTGCCAGAAAGGGATAAAAGACAGTGAAGTGTGACTCTCAGTGGAGCCCTCTCATACAGCACATAGATTTTATAGATTTCATAGACATTAGGGCTGGAAGGGACCTCAGAAGATCATTGAGTCCAGCCCCCTGCCCAAGGGGTAGGAAGTCAGCAGGGATCTTAGGATCCCAGCAAGATAAACATCCAATTGTCTCTTGAGGGTGTTCAAAGTAGGTGCTTGAAC